GGAATAATATGTATAGATAAAGCCCATATATATATATATATATAAAACATTAGGCAGCATATGATTTACATACAAAGAATAATCACACATAGAATTAATCAGAAGTATCAATGCGATTATTGGCGACATCCATCGCTAGAAAACATAATATATGCATTAAAATCCTGTTCATCCATAGTGCGAGTTTTGATCCTTGAAGATATATATATATATATATATATATATATATATATATATATATATATATCATCATTTGATAAGACACCGAGGGTGTTGAAACAAAATGGCTATTTTTGTAGTGATTTTATAACATATTTATGTTATAAATTCTTTAAAAAATATATATATATATATATATATATATATATATATATATATGATTCTTGTGTTAATGTTGAAGAGTAATTATACACACATTCTTATTGCCCAAAGTAGAGTATAATAGTGTTGTAAAACCCTCGGAGTATTCCAGTAAGATATCTTTAATCATTTCTCAGATACAACAGTTCATACACTTATCTAAGAATTACACGACTTGGACGTTTATGCTGTTACACCTGGTATATATATATATATATATATATATATATATATATATATATATATATATATATATATATATATATATATATATATATATATATATTAATTGTTCATCCGACAAAATGCTTAATATCCAAAAAATACCTAACTAATTCAGCCTTTTTCCAGGCGTTTAGATAAGGCGTTTAGCCATCTTAACACCATTTATTGTAAGAATCAGTGAAAATCAATTTGAGTTATTCCGCTTGAGAGAGAACAGGCTGAAATCCTTAGCTCTGATTAATTAATGATGAACGTGCCATTTTCGTTTATGTTAGGCTTCGTCCCGATTCTTGTGTTAAGCTTGGAGAGTAATTATAAATCCTTATTGCTCAGAGTAGAGTCCAATAGTGTTATAAAACCTCAGAGAATTCCAGTAAGATATCTTTAATCATTTCTAAGCTAAACGGTTCATAGCTTTATCTAATAATAGGAAAATTTTGCACAATTTGGAAAATTGTGCCGTTACACCTGGTATAGAATAAACATCAGACCAAATGTGGGAATATTCAATGCATGGACAAATGGCAGATAAATGTGCAAAATTGATTCTGACGAGAAAACATTTTCTAGCATGATAATGAAACAACATTCCTAAGAGTAAGCCTAATACTTGATAAAATATAATCACATCACTTCATATCAGTGGAAAATGTGCCACCAAGAAGGACAAATGAGTTGCTCTACTGGAGGTTAGCATCAGCCCTTCTGATGAAAAGCAAAAATGGCTCTATTTACACTATTTGCATTGATCGGACTGTTATCCTTATCTTTATTGCCATATACACGACGTTTCAGCCGCTGTACTCTCCGGCCCTTTTTAGGTGATGTCCAGTTGAATTTCGAATCTAACCTTTTAATTTGTCCAACGGGGTAGATTGTTCTAGTTCCACGCGTCATGCCTTTTTTGGATATCTCAGTTTCAATTGTTTCTTTGTTTAGTAACACCACTCCACAAGTTTTTGTTTGCTGTGGCCAGATATTGAACTCATAACTCTCTGGGTGGGTCAAGTCACTGGATTATTTCAACCAATAAATGACCCTCTTTAAGCCATATATATATATATATATATATATATATATATATATATATATATATATATATATATATATATATGAAGAAATATAGTGTTAATGTGTGGTATATTTATGGGATAAAGTGCTCAATATCAGACATAGAGCGTATGTAAATATAAAAGTGAACATTGAATAAACAGTCAGAGGCGGCAGACTGTTTTTCATGCTGGACGCAATTGTCATGCCGCCTGACAATTGCGTCTAGGATGAAACACCTACTATATATATATATATATATATATATATATATATATATATATGAAGAAATATAGTGTTAAGGTGTGTTATATTTATGGGATAAAGTGCTCAATATCAGAGATAGAGCGTGTGTAAATATAAAAGTGAACCTAGAAGTCAACACTTAGAGGCGACAGTCTGTTTCATGCTATATGCAATCGTCAGGCCTGATGATTGCATATAGCATGAAACAGAATGTCGCCTCTAAGTGTTGATATTTTTGTGTTCACTTTTTATATATATATATATATATATATATATATATATATAAACCTTGCACGATTTGATCTTATTACATATTAAAATCACCCAGGAACAACGAAATATACATAAATAAAAATCTAAAAACCATTTTTGTAAAGTAGGCCTTTGTTGTAAATTGTACACAAATTTACACAAATACAATAATAATAATAATAATAATAATTAGAGGCATTCAAATTTTGCCTCCCGGTGCTGGTGTAATTGTAATTGATCAGGTTTGTTAGACAGGACATTTATTCCACACTAAATGTGTTAAAACTATTTTTACTTAAATTCTAGAAAGGTCATTTACGTCAAGTGAATCGTATGCGCGTGGATACTATTTGTAACATCTTGCTTGATTGGTTAATTGCCGACCAATAAAAATCGATATCTAAATTTAATGTCGGTGCCCCTAAGGCTCTTTTAGACAGTCTGCTTTTCACAATTTCCCCTAAGAAGCAATTTAGATTCTAAACGTTGATAATGTCTTTATTTTAGCTATTCCTTAGTTTTCATTTTAACTCTGTTAAAGAAAGCGTATTTTAATGGCTAGCGGTTCAGGTTGAGGAATCAGAGATCCGTGTTCGAATTCCAGTCGGGTTCATTGCATTCACTTACGCGTTAATAATTTTATGTATGTCTGCCCAGAGATGGGTAAATAGCAGGACAGACTCAGTCATATAGCCTTGGGCGACACCCAGTCTTGGAGAAGGAAACACTGAATTCTAACGTGTAGATATTGCTTCTTTACGAAAGGCGAGAAGTAGGGAGCTTCAAAAACAAATCTATCATTGAGATGATGGACAGAGTAACCTCAACATCCTCTGTGAAAAAGGGACCGGCAAGCTATTGATGAAACTGGTCATAATACTTCTCAAACTGGCCATAATGCTTTTCCAACCGAACATACTACTTCTCAGACTGGTCACAATACTTAACAAACTGGTCATACTACTCAGATTGGTCAAAATACTTAACAAACTGGTCATACTACTCAGATTGGTCAAAATACTACTCAAACCGGTCATAATGTTTCTCAAACTGGTTAGAATACTTCACAAACTGGTCATTATGCTTCGACAACCGAACATACTACTCAAACTGTTCACAATACTTAATTGGTCATAATGCCACTCATACTGGCCATAATGCTTCTCAAGCCGGTCATAATTCTTCTCAAACCGGTCATAATTCCTCTCAAACCGGTCATAATTCCTCTCAAACTGGTCACAATACTTAAATGGTTATAATGCCTCATATACTGGACATAATGCTTCTCGATCCGGTAATAATGATTCTAAAACCGGTCACAATGATTCTCAAACCGTTCATAAGGCTTCCCAAACCGGTCATAATTCTTCTGAAACTTTCATAAGGTTTCACAAACTGGTCATAATGCTTAACTGGTCATAATTCCTCTCATACTGGTCATAGTTCTTCTTAAACCGGTCATAATTCTTCTCAAACTGGTCACAATACTTAACAGGGTCATAATGTCTCTCATACTGGTCATAGTTCTTCTTAAACCGGTCATAATGCTTCTTAAACTGGTCACAATACTTAACTGGTTATAATGCCTCTCATACTGCTCATAATTCCTCTCATACTGGTCATAATTCTTCTCAAATCGGTCATAATGAATCTCAAATCGGTCATAATGAATCTCAAATCGGTCATAATGAATCTCAAACCGGTCATAATTCTTCTGAAACCGGTAATAATGCTTCTCAAATTAGTCACAATATTTAACTGGTCATAGTGCCTCCCATACCAGTCATAATACTTCTCAAACCGGTCACAATGCTTCTCAAACCGGTCATAATGTTTCACAAACTAGTCACAATACTTAACTCGTCATAATGCCTCTCATACTGGTCATAATTCTTCTCAAACCGGTCATAATGTTTCACAAACTGCAAAAGCAAATTGATAAACTGAAGAGAATCCTTAACTGATTTCCAAATAGTTTCAACAAAAGTCAAAAAATTTGATGTTTTCAAATATGTTTGACGCTGCACCTGCGAAAATGAAATTCCTCATTGAATCCATTTCTTGTGATGAGAAATGGATCCTTCATGACAACCATAAATGATCGACTCAGTAGCATAACGAAGGACCCAAACATTTTCCAAAACCGAAATTGCACCAACAGAATATGATGACTATCTGGGAGTCCACCATTAGCGTTCTCCATTAAAGCTTCCTCGAATCTAACAAGAGCATCACTTCCGATGTTTACTCCCAGCAATGCGATGAAATTCACATTCATTATGCAAAATGCGATCGGCACTGGTTAGTCGACGAAATCTAAATTCTGCTTCATGACAATGAAGGATCTCACCCACTTGGGAGAAGTGACTTTTTCACATTCACCATCTTTCCCTCATCTCTTGGTTACTAAACACCACCTTTGCAAGAATCTTAACTATTTTCTAAGACAGAAAACATTCCATTGCAATAAGTTGAAGAAAATATATTCAAAGATTTCTTGGTGTCGAAAACCTTTAGGAGTTTATCTTAAAGGCATAAGTAACCTTGGAACTCGTTGGCAGAAAAGTATACATGCCAAGGGTTACACTTGCTTAAATACATAAATTGCGGGATAAAATTTGATTCTAATTCGGACATTATTTCATGAACAACCTAATAGAAAATAAGATCAGATTTAAATATTAATTGACTGAGATAAATAATTATGATATGAAAACACTAGGACAGATTGATAGCTAAATAGATAGGAAAAGACTTCTGTATATTCATGAAAGTAATATGGATAAATATGAATGGTCATAGATAAAAAAAAACAGAGGCATATGAATAAATATACCTAGACAAGATCAAACATGGATATGGACAAATTAAAATTGATAGATAGAGGGACAGACATGGACAGAATGAGATAGATGGATAGAAAGAGATTGGGATAGATAGATAGATAGATAGATAGATAGAAGACTGGGATAGATAGATAGATAGATAGATAGATAGATAGATAGATAGATAGATAGATAGATAGATAGGAAAAGACTGGGTAGATAGATAAAAAAAAGCTGGGAAAGGTAGATAGATAAATAAGACTGGGATGGATAGATAGACAGACGGACAGACAGACAGATAGATAGGAGAAGACTGGGATGAATAGAAAGATAAAAAAGGCTGGGATAGATAGATAGATAGATAGATAGATAGATAGATAGATAGGAAAAGACTGGGATAGATAGATAGGTAGAAAGGAAAAGACTGGGATAGATAGATAGATAGATAGGAAAAGACTGGGATAGATAGATAGATAGATAGGAAAAGACTGGGATAGATAGATAGATAGGAAAAGACTGGGATGGATGGATAGATTGATAGATAGATATCGTCTGAAGGAAACTTTGATAAAGAGAAAGTCAAGCGATTCACGCTTCTGGTGGATTTAAACCATTTTTTGTTTCTGAACAACCTTAATACGATTGTCTTTACATACCGTTACTTTATGACTTGGTCATTGAATCCATTATCCAGCCGTTGCCCGCTTGAGCAGATCATCCGCCTAGCAGTGTAGTACGAACATTTACCTTTCACGTGGTTTAGCCCGGCTTGATGAAGCAGTTTACAGTATTGCCGCGCGTGAAGCCAAGACGTGAGAGATTTAGCGGATGGGTGAAAACCATCATTGGCCGTCCACCTTAATAATAAGTTGCAGCAGCTGAGCAACAAAGGTATTACTTCTGCCCACTGCCCTCCTACTAGCATAAAGACACATACACACACACACACACACACACACACACACACACACACACACACACACACACATATATATATATATATATATATATATATATATATATATATATATTACAGTGGATGCCGGGGTAAACACTTCATCAAATGTACCGAATATATTGCTATATATTCTTTTAAAATAGTAATAATAAATAAGTAAGAAAAGAAAGTATAAAATTACTATCAAATATGTGAATATTTTATTATTATTATTGTTTTTAAAATATTTGACAGAAAAATAATAGAACAAATTTACTTTTTGGCGTCCAGGTAATGGCTGCTACAGTTACTGCGAAGCAATAACAACTTATTTAAGACATTGCATACTGAGAAAGATAATATTTGGAAAATGAAAAATTCGACCTGGTATGAACAGGAACATCGGGAAAAACACAACAGCAGCTGATATGTTTAGAGACAGAATGCAAACGAATTTGTTGTCAAGAGTAAATGAAGGAATAATATACATCGATGTTGGAAAGTATCAGATCGTTTGTCTGTAATACAACTCATTGTTCAAGAAAAAACATACGAATGTTAACAAACAGAATGGAGCCAGAATTCACAGTTATGGAGTTTTATATTTAAAAGTGTACCTTCAAAAATTTAGCAGTCATCCAAGAACCACTATAGTCACAACACTGAACCGAGACATTCAAAGAACAAGGCAGAAATATACCACTTTTTCTTTAGAGACGTTTACAATTAAGGAGAATCTGCAACGAAACTGCAAGCGAATCCGCAGTGGACAGTTTGGTTTGGTTTGGTTTTTGTTTTACGGTATATCAACCACAATGGGTCATTTTTTCCTGATAATATTTTTGTTTTGTCGAAAATCTAAAAATTTTCTGGTAATATTTTTTTTCCTCAAAATTGTATAGCTTGTATTATTTCTTTTCAAAAATTTATTACTGATAATATTATTTTTTCAAAAACGTATTGCTGGTAATATTTTTTTTTTCAAAAACGTATTGCTGGTTATATTTTTTTTTAAAAACGTATTACTGATAATATTTTCTTTTCAAAAACGTATTGCTGGTAATATTTTTTTTCAAAAACGTATTGCTGGTAATATTTTTTTTCAAAAACGTATTGCTGATAATATTATTTTTTCAAAAACGTATTGCTGGTAATATTATTTTTTCAAAAACGTATTGCTGGTAATATTTTTTTTTTCAAAAACATATTGCTGCTAATATTTTTTTTTTAAAAATGTATTACTGGAAATATTTTTTTTTTCAAAAATGTATTACTGGTAATATTTTTTTTTTCAAAAACGTATTTCTGGTAATATTTTTTTAAAAAAACGTATTGCTGGTAATATTTTTTTTTCCAAAACGTATTGCTGGTAATATTTTTTTTTCCAAAAACGTATTGCTGGTAATATTTTTTTCTTCAAAAACGTATTGCTGGTAACAATTTTTTACAAAGTATTTCTGGTATTAAAATCTATTTTTACACTTTCATAATGCTTTTTACCTCAGTTCCGGGGCTAACTATTTGCCCATAGTTTGGACCCTAAAAGGTACTACCACCCTGGGTGGGGATGGACCTGGGAACACCAGCAAGTAAGATGTGGTTCTATGATCCTCAAAGCCTCCTGATCAGAGGCTTTGCTGTTGGACGTAGTTTATCTTCTACCCAAGACGCAGATTTAGTTTATCGTCATACCCAGGACGCGGATGAAGTTTATCGTCATACCCAGGACGACCGCAATTTTGCTTTTAGTTAATGATCATTGTTTTAATTTTGTTAACGTATTCTTAAAAAAAAATAAGTGAACTAACTTTTGTCTCAGTACAACTTGGCTGCGTTTTTTATTGAGTAAGCAAAAAATCCAGGATTAACAAGTCAAACACAAGAACATTTCCTGGCGCAGACATCGGCAATAATCATGACTTTTAAATTAAGGCTGAAAAATAAGTGCTGTTCAAAGGATTCCAGAATCCACTTCAACACTGAGAAACTAAAAGACCCTGAATTCACTCAAATGATTCAGACCAACGTTGTCTGCAAGTTTGCAGCCCTGAAGCTAAATAACACAGATATAGACACTTTTTCCGGTCACATTAAAGAAGTGTTACTCACAACAGATGAGGATGTTTTGGGTAAACACTGAAGGAAAATCTAACCGTGTGTCAAGAACGAAATCTTGGATTTGTGTGATAAGAGGAGAGGACTGAGAAGAAAGAAGCCTTCAAGTGGCGAGGTCTGTGCCCAATATCTGGAAGTGCACAGTAACGTGAGGAGAAAAAGGCGAGCAGCTAAAAAGGAGTGGATACAACATAAGTGCAAAACCATTGAGAAGGATATGCTTACTGGCAATAGCAAAAAGGCTTACAATACTCTCAAAGACCTTCCTACAGAGAGCAACAGTCGTAGAGGATGAGAATGGTAAATTGCTGACGGACAGTGAAGAGGTCCTCCATAGATGGACTCAATACTGTGAGGGTTTATACAATTACCAGCTTCATCCAGATGTCTCCATATTTCAAAGCGACCAGCACCCCTCAGAAGAAGACGAGACCAATCTGTAAATACTGAAGGAAGAGGTTGAGTTGGTAGTAATGAGCTTGAAACCTGGCAGGTCACCCGGAGTTGATAATATCGCCACTGAGCTGGTAAAACATGGAAGGGAAGAAATCATCAAAGTCATAACAACACTATGCCAGTAGATTTGGAAACAAAAACGTGGCCTAACGGGTGGACTCAGTCATTGGTAATACTCCTGCCAAAGAAAGGAACCTTGAGGCAGTGTTGAAATTATAGGATAATAAACCTGATTCGTGATCCCAGTGATGTCCTGCTCTGTCTCATTTTGAAATCCAAGGTTGAAGAGCTGCTATCAGAGGAAAAATCAGGTTTTAGATCCGGACGAAGTACAATGGAGCAGATCTTCAATTGTAGGATTCTCCTAGAGAAATAGCTGCAACATGGGCAATGACCAAGAGGGAAAGACTAGGAATTTTCCCGGTTGCGTGTGTGTGTGTGTTCGGCAATGTATAGACTGGAATGGATAATGTTCCTTCTGAGCTGATAAAAGACGGAAGTGAAGAAAAGTCATAACAACACTATGCCAGTAGATTTGGAAACAAAAACATGGACTAACGGGTGGACTGTCATTGGTAATACCCCTGCCAAATAAATTATAGGACAATAAGCCTGATCAGTAATCCGAGTAAAGTCCTGCTCCGTGCCATTTTGAATCGTATGAAATCCATGGCTGAGGAACTGCTATCAGAAAAAAAAAAACAAGCAGGTTTTAGAACCGGTCGAAGTACAAATAACAGGTCTTCAGTTTTAGGATCCTCCTAGAGAAACATTTGCAACATCAGAAGAACGTGTTCCAAATATTTGTTGATTTCAAGAAAGTATTTGATCGTGTATGGCCTGACGGTCTTTGGCAAGTCCTTAGGGAAATCAATGTAGATAACGGAATTAAAACTTTCAAAAAGTTTATTGGTCAAGTCCTGGAGTTCACTGTTACTACCAGCTACGAGGTCAATGTCATCGAAAAAATGTGGGCGGGTCTGCCACCGATTGGGATTGAAGTATCATGGTCGTTCAAGGTTTCTTGCATGATTCTCTCTAGAAATAGGTTGAACAATGTGTACACATCCCTGTTGCATGCCGACAGTTGTCCGGAAGAATCGGCCCTTTTGTTTTCCCAGAAGAACTGCGCTGGTGGCATCTTTACATAGGGCCTGGACGACTTGGATAATACTATGATGGCTTATACTATTACCAGCTCCATCCAGATATTTCCATATTGCACAGTGACCAGCACTCCACAGAAGAAGACGAGACCAGTCCATCACTACTGAAAGAAGATGTTGAGTTGGCAGTAAAGAGATTGAAACCTGGCAAGTCACCCGAAGTGGATAATATTCCTTCTTCCTTCCACAGTGCCATGTGTCCTCGAGTACACATGGCACAGTGGATGAAGGCGTTGGTTAGATCCAGTGACAGAACCCAAAGAATGTGAGTTCAATACCCAGTTAAGGCAGTGGAGAACTTTCAGAGGGAAATTAACAGGAGATAACAGATAACTGACATCCATTAAACATGGCACATGGAACTAGAACAGTCTACCCCAGTGAGCGAAATAAAGGGTTCAGTTCTACATTCCAACCACCTGAAGAAGGCCGGAGCGTACAACGGTGGAAACTTTGTAATAAATATGGCGACAAAGTTGAGGACAATAGTCTGAATAATGTAAATAATGTACATAATACCTCATCTCAGAAATATAGACAGATACTGAAAGGCCGAAACGTTATGATAAATATGGCGATACAGATGAGGACAATAGTCCGAATAATGTAAATAGTGTACATAATATACCTCATCTCAGAAATATAGACAGATACTGTAATAAAAGGCGACAAAGAAACGTCTGAATTGTAAATAAATAAATCTCAGAAATATAGACAGATACAAAGAAACGTTGTAATAAATATGGGACAAAGATGAGGACAATAGTCTGAATAATGTAAATAATGTACATAATACCTCATCTCAGAAATATAGACAGATACTTTGGCCATGTTATACGATGAGGCGGCTGCAATAAGGGCATTCTGCTGGGCCCAGTGATGAAACTGGAATAACGATGGCTAAAGCTGTAAGGGAGTGAGTGAGTGAGATAAGCGTTGACCACAGCGGCACAAAAGCGCTAACTGGCTGAATAAATGAATGAATGACTGACATGTATGATGTGAGACGTTAGTATTTTATAAAGATCGAAATTCGCTATTGTTTTGGCCCCTCGGTTTGCTGTGAAACGACGAAACACTGGCGCCGTGAATGAATAACGGCCATTATGTAAAAGTAAAATCACTCGTTTTTATTTGTCTACATAAATATATCCCGTTCACAGTCCTCGTCGAATAAAGAATGAACGGCTTTCATTTGTGAAGGCGGAATGGAAAGTGAAGAGAATGAAAAACGAAGAGAGAAGAAAAAATGTAATTAAAATGAGAAAAAAGTAGGAAAAAGTTTGAGTAGAGAAGAAGAATTTGAAGGAAGATATCTTCATGACGTCAGCAATCATGGCCCTCCATAATTTCTTGTCCTTTGTAGCACTTAATAACTTATTTCTCCCAAACCCTGCTCCCCCATCGACTCATTTAAACTTGCCAGGTAGGTTATGCGTTGCTTTCATCTGCAGCTCTTAATTTCAATCTGTCCTGTGAGTATAACATTTTCCAAGCATTCTTTCCTCATTATGTGCCCCAGAAATTTCAACTGTCTCTTTCTGATGTTAAGTATAAGTGTTCTTTTTTGTTTCCGTTTTTTCTAGAACTTCGTTGTTGCTCACATGTTCGGTCAGTGATATTTTCAGTATCCTTCTGTAGAACCACATTTCCGACAATGCATCTCCCCTCTAATGGCTTCATCAGATGGATAACGAAGAGCTGTGTCGTGTGTGTTTGCATTTGTGTGTAATTAAAAAAAAAACTAAATCTTATATTATTTTTCCCTAAGATGGCGTTCGTCGAGACTAAAAAGAAAATGAGTGACGTTAAAAAACAAAAAATCGTTTAACATTTTATATTCTCTGCCTTAAGAGGCCGAGTTTTGAGATGGAAAATCCTTCAGAATGCTTAGAAAATAAATGAAAGAAATTCTTTTTATCAACGCGTTCTCTATGTTAACAGTAATGTAGTAAATTTGGGTATGTAATCCCGAGAGAGATATAAGTTATTGACATCTGGAAAAAAAACGTTTATTAAAGTAGGTTTCGAAAATCCGATAATGTATTTCGCCTCTAATGGCTTCATCGGATGGATAATGAAAAATTCTGTTGTGTGTATGTCTTTGTATGTGTTTACTGTACATGCCATAATGTTACGTAAATCATCAGGTGTTATATGTTTCTTTTCATGCGTTTTAATTCCGTGTATCAGTATGTACGTGCATGCGCAACTCTGTAACTGCAGATCCGGCGGTAAATCAATACCTTTTCAGCTGCCACCAAGTAGGAAGGTCAATTCTTGGTGACAGACATTATAAAAAAAATAAGAATAAAACAAGTCACTGATAAAGACAACAAATAAATTCGATTAACGTTTAGCCGCCTCTAACTTAATGTCAAGTCGACTTGACTTCGATGTCGATGTGAGCAGAGGACAGACTTAAACATTAATACAAGCTACACTGCAGCGACAAAGTGACAGCAAAGAATGACGCAATATATCTGAAAGGTTTCGGGAGAGCACAATTAAGAGGAGAAACTTTAAGTTTAAATGAAGCTATACAATTTCCTGACATTAAAATGAATAGGGAATACTTTTTACATTTTCTGGTGGAGTTATTTTATGAGAAACGCTTTTAAAGTTAAGCAATGATCAGTTTGATTAAATGTTAAAAAAACGAAATTTTTATAAATAAATTCAGTAATTCTTTACAAATTCTTTGTTTATGTTACGTATACAAAACTGAGCGGCTCTCCAGAATCAATCATACATATCTATAAGTTTACAATTCCTCCATCCTTAGAACCACATTTCCGACAATGCATCTGCTCTCTAATGGCTTCATCAGATGGATAACGAAGAGCTGAGTTGTGTGTTTATGCATTTGTGTGTATTTAAAATAACTAAATCTTATATTATTTTTCCGAAGCTGGCGTTCGTCGAGACTAAAAAGAAAAAGAAAATGAGTGACGTTAAAAAAAAATCGTTTAACATTTTATATTCTCCGAGGCCGAGTTTTGAGATATTGCTGTCAAAAATGGTCCAGCGCTCCTGCTATACATTTAGAGATCCTTGATAAAATCCAAAGAAGAATCAGCAATATTATTGGTCCTGATCTGGTGTCTCGGCTTCAGTCATTTCCACCGTAAAGTTAACCCCCTGCGCCTTTTCTATAAATACTTTCATGGTAATTGTTCCGATGAGTTCACCGCTCTGGTACTTTTTAAAGACTTGGCGTCGAGATTTCATCAATTTACAATTGAGCTGGTTAGACGTAACCGTAAGTTCTATGCTAACAGTTTCTTTTCTCGCACTTCTCGCTTGTTGAACTCTCTATCGACTTAAGGCTTCTCCTGTCTGCCTGATTACTCTTCTGTTCTTTTTCCTTAGTGAAGTTTCTGTTTCTAATTCTTCCAGTAAACTCCTTCTGTGTTTTACCGCTTTGCATGAGGTGAACTCGATTTCAAAAAAAAAAAAGCGAGCGGTCAAAGCAATGGTAGTTGGTCCTGCAAGGGTGGGGTGCAAGTTCGAATCCGTCAGGAGGGAACAATTTCTTTATTAAATTTCCTCGTGTGTGCAGGCTGGCAGATTAAATGTTTAAAC